GAAATTGATTTTCTTTGGAAAAAAAATAGCAATCTACTTAATGCTGAAACAATGCCTTCTGACTAGCTGTCAGGGCCTTCAGCTGGTTTGAGTGTAGCTTTTTCCAGACCATGATGCTTTATATGTTATGTTGCATGTCCTCAGCTTCACCTTTCCATTGTACCTTATCTGAAACCCTGCTGCTGAGACTTGCAATCATTCATTTGGAATTAAAAATGAAACAAATCACCTTAGAGCTCATTTATGTGGGAAGCTGGGAACTGTACTGGGTAAAGAAACAACTTTTGGTTTATTGAATATCCCGGGGACACGCTGCAGAAAGCCCAGCATGCTGTGTGTGTAAAACATGCAGAGTGTGTAAATAGAAGCTTACAAGACAACATGTTTTAAGGTGAAATTGCTGCAGTATGAGACATACCCCAGAAGCTTGAAGGGACAACATCAGTCTGAGTTTGGGGGATTGTTAGTAGTCACTGGAGAGGCAATAGGAAGTCACAAGTAGAAAGAAAATGTGGTCATATGGAAATAGGCAGGTGGAGCAAGCCTAGCTGTGCCCTCTCCAAGCCGAGAGCAGCATGTTGGGCTGATGGGCTCAGTCTGTGGCACAAGGAACCTGCACCAGCTCCTAGGAAACCCAGTGCTGCTGAGGGCAGGGGGCTGTGGTGTGACAGGGTGTGCATTGGCACCATATCCCCTCTCTCCTCTCCTGCCAGCTATGTCACATCCAGAGTGGTCTCCTGCCCTGTCCTGGCAGGTGCAAGGCTCTGGCCGGCAGGTGTAGGGGATGCCAGTGCCTTGGCAGCCAGGCACATTGCTTGTGCTGGTCTTGGTGTGGCATGCAGGCTGTCTGCATTTCTGCACCAGGGGCTTGTGGCCACCATCTCATCCCGAGTGCTTTAGTCCTGCATGAGTGCATGATAGGGCACTTTGGACGTGAGACAGAGCTCTCTCCTCTGAAATGTCTCTAATTCCGGTGTCCTGCAGGGTTTTGCACTGGGGCAGGACTCATCCTCCTCAAGGATATAACCAGTCTGCTGGTTTAATAGGTTTAATGTCAAAGAAACTCCCTGCTCTGAGCAGGGAGTGGTTGCCAGAGACTGCTTAGGCCAGCAGCAGTGTGTTGTGCCGAGCTAGTGCCTGGAGCCCCAGCCCTACATGCCTGCAGCCAGGTGAGAGGCACCAGAAGGTCATCCAGAGCCCCAAGGTCTGGAGCCAGGTCTATGTGTGAGCAGTGGGCTGCCAGGCTGCTGTGGGCTTTACGTGCCTGCCATTTCATTGCCAGGCTACAGGTGACTCCCCTTATCTTGACTTTGAGGTTTGAGATGGCCAAACCCCACAGAAATGCCCAAGCAGGTGGCATCCTCCAGGGCCTTAGGCTCAGGGGAGAGCAGCGGCATGCCAGCCACCCATGGAGGTGGGTGTGGTGGGTGCATGCCATGGGTGCAGTGGGGCTGGGGCTGTGGGTGCCTGCTGCCGCTGGAGAGCGGCTCCAGCCCTTTGGCAGCACCAGCAATGGGAGAGCCCTGCTCCAGGAGATTGCAAAATGCATTTGGCAGAAGCAGAAGCACAGCATGCTAAATGTGCTAAGCTAAACCAGCTTTGCTTTGTGGATTGTTTTTTTTCTCACAAGCCACCAAACAAATAGCACTTTGGGGCCTGAGCAGAAGCTGGGAATGCCCTTTCTGTTTCTGCCTTTCCCCCACTTGTCCATTCCCCACTTATCCAGCCCCTTGCAGGATCTCACAGGAACCCCACAGCCGCTGCAACAGCTGCGTGGAAAAATGCATTGTGGCTCCGTGGGACTCGGCTCGATGGTCCCAAGCTGAGCCAGGAGGCTGAGTGATCCTCCTTGTGGGGCTGCCCATGCAATAGAGACTTCGTAAAGCCGTCTGGAGGGTGTTTTAAAAGCAAACATTGCAAAGCATTGCCGGGCCTTCCTCTAGCTAGCAGGAAAAAAAAAAAAGAAAAAAAAGAGAATACCCTGGAAAGCTATTCTGGTCTCGCATGATTCTCAAGTGGAAAATTTCATCTGAATTGACTTCGGCTGGCGGGGTTAAGGGAGGTGAGGCCCAGCTGCCGCCGGCTCTGCAGCACGGACGGACTGACTGACGGCTCCACAGGAGCCCGAGCCTGCCACGTGGGCAGGGCTGGGTCTGGCAGCGGCTGCGGCGGGAGAAAGGAAACCCGAGCCCAGGGGAGCGCAGGGCTTGAGATGCAGCCTTCAGTCGGCGTGGCCGCTGCCGCCGCTGTTACCCCTCTCCGGCAGGGAGCAAACCGTGCCAACTCTCCAGTGCTGAGGGCTGCCTTCCCACCTTGTCCCCGGCCCCAGTCGCGGTCACTCCGCTCGGTGCAGCCCATGGACGGGTGCGGTGGCTGGCGGGGCTAATCCCTGTCCTGCGGGAATAACATGGGGCACGTCTCCAGCTCTGCTGACGCACAGGCCTTGAGCACCGGCTTTGGAGCCGTGCAGGGGAGCTCGCCTCGGGCCAGGGACCGCGGGGACCGGGGCCAGCGCCTCTGTCAAGCCCAGCTGGGGAAGGGGGTGTCTGCTCCTCATCCTTCCCCGCAGGGCGGATATCCCAGGACCATGCACTTTAAAACCTAAGGTGGGCTGGGAACTTGCTGTTCAGGTGTTCGCTGTTGGAAAGGAGTAGTAATTTGACGAAATTGCAACTTTTAATGGGAATATTCATATGTATATGGCAGACAGAGTTCCCTGGTCCTGTGTCCTGGAATGTCTCCCCCCTTTCCCCTCTATCTGGCACTAGTGTGGGTAGGTGAGTCCCCATTCTCACATGAAACAGAAAGGCTTTGGATCCTCAGACAGCTCAAAAGAATGGGTTTTCCAGCCAGCCCTACCCACAGCACCTGCCAGCACAGCTCCAGCCGTGCGGGCCGGCAGCGCTCAGCAGGGCGGTGGTGCAGCACAAACTGGGAAGGGGGTTTGTGATCCCGTGTCACAGACTCACCGGGCAGTTCTGTGGGGAAGAAGGCCCGGGAGGGCTTAGGTTCAGCTGCTGGCTCTGGGCAGGTTCAGCCTTGCTGTCAGACCAGGCTGCCAGGGCTTTGTCCCGTCGGGGCTGGGAAGGGATCCCGACAGCCTGTCCGGGCAGCCGTGGCACTGCCTCGCGCATCCGGACGGCTTTCCCCGGGAGCGCGCACAGCGTGACGCGGCCCGGAGCGGGCGGCGGGCCGGGCCGGAGCGGGGCAGCGCCGGCCCGGAGCGGGCGGCGGCGGCCGGGCCGGAGCGGGGCAGGGCCGGGCCGGAGCGGGGCAGGGCTGCTCTCGCCGCCCCGGCTCCGGGCGGGCGCTGGAGCTCCCTGCTGGCCGCAGCTCCCGCGCCCCGGCTCCAGCGGCCGCCTGAGAAAGGAGAGGGGCCGGCAGCCCCGAAGGGCAATACTCGCTCTGGGGCTCGCCGGCTATTGCCGGTGCTCCAAAGGGGAGCTACTGGGAGGAGGATTTCCACTGCGGAGCCCAGCGCTGCTGCCCTGAACAGCCCTCGGCCATCCCCGGCTGCAGCAAGCGACTGACAAGTGACCTGTAGTGCACAGCTCCTCTCTGCTTCCTCACCTTCACCCCGGGGATTTCCATTGGAAAGGTGCAATAAGCTGCTGACACACATAGCTAAGTGGTTTGTTTAAGGGTACGAAGAAGGGAATTCAGAGAGTGGACAGTTGAGAAAAATACCCAGTCAGGATCTAAATGCAAATTCTTGGGCCTGAATTCTCTCCCCTATTTGACTGATACAACGGAGTTGCCCCGTATTGACACGGCACAGTAGGACAGGACACGATGTACATGTGACAGATTGGGCTCTGCACTGCTGCCCACTGCAGCATTTCAAGAGAACATCAAAATAAAGGATCATATTTAACAGAACTTATGGGAAGCAGCCGGTTGAACACAGGGGGATCAGCAGAGAATCCCTGCTGCCACATCCAAACTCAGGCTGACAAACACAATTAGCTTCGTCCTGCGAGTTAAGAGGGTAATCCTGTTAATGCCCCTAATTCAGCTCCAAGATTGTGCAGTTGAAAATAGATGAAAATAGCGGGGGAAAAAAGTTTTCAAATAAAGTGAATATTAGGTGTTACTCCAAGCATCAGACTAATAGAAAAGGTCCCCACCCTTCCCATGTCTGTGGAAGGATCAGCCCTTAAAGAATGGCCTGGAGTCCTGGGTTAGAGATCTTCACTTGCCTTCTCTTGACAGCCTCTACCAGTGCCACAGACATCCCCCACTCCCCTCAGCAATGGAGCTTCTCCCTAAAACTCAGGGCAAGTACTTGATGCACAAGTAGTGACTCTCACATGGTAAAGCAATAGCTCACAGTAAATTGGTGAATTATTTGCTACTACTTACTTCAAATTTTAATAAAGGGGTGAAATAAGAACTCAGAGAAGGAGCAAGTTACATTCAGTGCAGTACCTCCAGCAAAAGGAAACATTAGGTGTGTAGTATCTGCCACCCTCCTGCAGTATATGTGGCAGTCACAGATATTTTCTCCTTCAGTTACGGTCAGGGCCAGTTAAGCCATCTTTGGTACATACCCTGTTCCTTCTCCTTACAGCAGTCAGCTGGTACTGCCAGCACCCACTGAGCCCTTCCTATGGGCAGCACTGCCACCTTTGCTGGCCTCCAGGCTGCTTCTTAGGGCTGCACTTTCCAGCTGTTGCCCAAGTCCTTAGCAAAGCCCCAACAGCATTGCCCCTCCTCTCCTCACAGGAGACTCACCAGGTACACTCCTGGTTCAGCAAGATCAGTCTGGACCACAACAAAAGCACCTGCCTGGCTATCAAGGATTAAAAGCTGTTTTCTAGCCCAAGTTTTTTTTGGTGCAAGTGGTTTTTTTTGTTTCAGTTTGGCTTTAGGTGTTTTATATTTAATTAAAATAACCCCAAGGGTTCCAACCTGAGACATGGACAACTCCACACACCCTTCCCCACCTCCACCCCCCACAAAAAGAGCAGAAACAAGAGTACATAGGAAGTAGCAAAATATCCAGTGGTGGATCCAGGGCATCCACTTTTATTCTGATTCAATGTAAGCTAGTTGTGCAGCTGCTTAGGCACACAAAAAGTTGGAACCATTTTCTCCCGTTCCTAAGAAGTAACTGGCAACACCAGTACCACAGCCTTGTCTGGGCCCACAGCCCTGGATCTTCCTTCAGAAATGGAAGGCCAGCTGCAGGGCTGGATCAGGGAAGCATTCAGGCCAAAGCAGGCGGGGCTGTTTGCCATGCACACCATCACAGCACACAGTGAAACACCACCTGCAGGTCTGTGTCAGACACCCCTGCTCCTGCCACAGCCTCAGCAAGCACGAGGTGCTGCAGCTGTCTAGCGAGCACAACACGGCTACATCACTTCCAAGTACTCTAAAGAAATCATCCAGCTTTCATATTGTGTAAAAGTTCTGAACTGCAGTTACAACAAACAGTAGCACATAGCAAATCAAACTGAAATACATACTGTGTTCAGACTCCAGGTTGGCTTTAATGGCACACTGTCTTCAAGTACAGCAAGTATTTCTCCTCTGACCACTGCTGCATTTATAGAAAAATTGTTTTCTACTTATCTGTAAATTGACATAAAACAACTTTTAAAGACTGTATGACAGAATCCTGTTGGATTATTTAACCTTAGGCAACTGCAGTTGCATTAAGTCAAAAACCACACAGCAGTCTGTCTATAAAGACCTCAACAGGTAAACTGAAGAACTTATCACTGCTTGACATGGGTCAACTAGTAACTTCAGGTTAAAAAAAAAACAAACAGAAAACCAAAACCAAGCCAAAACACAAGTTTACCCCTTTAATTTACTCCCTTTCCACTTGTACATTTAATTACAGCAGTAAGTATTTCTTAGACTGCATCTCCAAAGCACAAGCCATTTTGTATCTCCTAACTGGCCCGTAAAACTGTTCTGACAAATACAAACTGAGAATTTACTTTCAAGCAAAAGTTTGTGAAGTTTCATAAAATCTTTGCTTTACAGAATCAGAAAATAAAATTTCCTACTAGCTGGCACTCATGTGAAGTACACTTGCAGCCAAAGGGTATAAATTTTACCTCCAATAAAAGCGTTTAAAAAATCCCTTTTATCTGTAGTATCCAGACCTCAGTGCATCATTTCAAAACCCTAAAACCTCCTTCTCCTCCTTTCCCCAGTTTTCAAGTAGGGTAAGTTCAAGTGAGAAAGTAAGCAAAGGACCTTGAAGAAATCGAGAGGCTTCAGTAACACAATAAAGAAATTCTCTGACCAGTTCAGGCAGTTCATTACTCAATGCACATATACTTGCAGCAGTCTAATTTACCCTTTACATTATGGATACAGCTAAATGAAGTCCAGTGCAAGAGAGCGTTTGAGGTTTCTGTAGTCTTGTGCAGCCCTACCCTAGAGTCAGCACTATACAGAACTAGCTAAAGTTGAAAGTTAAGACTTTTCAAATAAACACTATTAAAAAAGGAGCCAAAGGTTCTGTGACAACATGCAGAATTGGACTAACCCATGCTGCCTCAGGGCACTGCATGCACACGAGCTGGGACAACCTCTCCGTGCACACCCATGCCTAGTGCAGGTTTTGGTGTGAAGAACTGAATCTAAGGTCATGCTCTAAAAACACACCACAAATTGCCTTTTAGTCTTCCAGGAACTTACATGACTTGCACTTCATACAGATTGATCAACCTTAAAAGTTTTACTGTTTAACACAAAGCTGAACCAATGGGCATGAGAAAAGAAAGCTTCTCAAATCAATCACATATACATCTACTTTATAGCTATCTGCCTAGCTCCTCCCAAAGTTAGCCTGGAAAACAGTAAAATCTACACAAAGTTTTATTGCAGTCATACAAGGGATACATCATGGGTCAAATACAACAAATACTATGATGCAATTTTACATTTATTAAACTACAGTTCAAAGCACAAATTTACACATTCTAAATACACTAAAACATCTAATGAAGTCACACTGGTCTCCCACTGACATCTGATATATCTGGGCGAAAGACAATAACTTTACAAGACTTTTCTAACAGGAATCCTTAGTATAAAAACTGTGTACTTGTATGTAAACTGTTGAAGAACCCAAGTGATGGGTTTCCATCTCCACTAAGTCATCCATTTTGTTGCATATTTAACGCTCAGGGGTTGAATGAACTTGATTTTAAATTTGGACACCATTATCTAACCCTCCCACCCCCCACTGAATTGTAGCTGTAGCTTGTTTTGCCTGGTCCCCATTACTATTACTATTTTTTCAAGTTTTGAAGAGAATTGAATTCAAGATTGTTCCATTTCTTCCACATTGGAATGTTGACCAGACAAACTACAGACTTGCAACTGCAGGTCTAAATGAAGCGTTAATGCCTGTTTAAGCTGCAGTGGAAAAGCGTTCTTCCGGGCTCAGCTGAATGCATGAAGGCACAAAGAAGAAGTTCTTCATCAATGTGTCTGAAGCAATTCCAGCATCTTGCATCTCATCCCTGCAGCAGAAAAGGTCAAGAGATGTAATAGCACGTTTTCAGGTTCAATTTCCCTCCAGAACCCAGCCTCCACACAGCATTTGAAGCCAATTGCCCCCACACAGCTTGGCCCTGACGCAGCAGAAGGGAGCGCAGCTGTGCCAGCACCTGGCACACACAGAAACGCTGCCACGCTCCAGGGGTGGGAGCACAAGGCCCTGCCTGCCTGGGGCAGGAATGGGTTGCCACACACTCCATCACCACAAGAGCATCACCGCCCTTCCAGCTTATGGTGGTGCCAACACTGCACACAAGCTGCAGTTACATGTATTAGGAAAGCATCTCTGGTCCTCCAAGACTTTACAACTGCCACTGAACTCACAGGTGAGATCAGTCAGGTATTTTGCTTTCCTTTGACAGCCCTAAAGCAAAGTAGGCATTTTATCACAGATCTCAGTTTAGTCTCAGCAGTCAGACAAGAGACAAAGAAAATTCTAGAAACTAAAAAGGTACATTCTTGCATTCAGCATTTTCCTCTATTTGCCACTGAATGTAAGTGTACACTCCTGAAGGAAGCAAAAGCAACCTTGCCACTACCAAGATAGTTTTCTTACCAGTCACTGAAAGACATCATGTAGTAAATCAGTGGCCTCTGATAGTCGTTAAAGGTAGACTGTTCACCTAAGGTACCAGAACCCATATTGTCAAAGATCAGCCAATCTCCAACGCTCAACTCGGGAAGAAGACAGTTTTCCACAATTTGATCAAGCTCATCACAGGATGGACCCCAAAGGCTGCTCGCAAACAGAGGCTCATCTTCCTTGTATTTCTAGAGGGAAATGATTGAGGCAATTCAGGCTTCAGTTTATTGAATAAGAAAATTTTCTTAAGAATATTCTTAAATCTCTTCAGAAAATTTCTTAAGAATTTTCTGAATATAGAAGGACTCACCTTGTGAACCTCTGGGATAGTATTCAGTTTCTCAGACAATTTACTTGCAAAAGAACCATAAACACCATCATTTATGTAATATGTAAAAACTGGTTCATCATCATTCCTGGTTTGCTCCACTGGAAGTAAAAAAAAGAAGTTGTCTTGCATGCATGTTTTGTCATAAGTAGCCTTTTTGCTATCTAACTTAAGTCAGCTGCTTTCTCCTGATAAGGGAGTTCCCTATATACTGGAATAAGAGAATTACAAGCAGAGTAATCTTTATGAGACCAGATTATAAATTCAGTTATAACAGTAAGTGTGAGGCTTAATAAAATCAATACTTTCAGTAATAACCACTGCTAAGAATATAAATCCAGAGAAGTAGGGAAGTAGCTTGCTCTGTGACATGATTTTTTATGTTCTAATACAGAACCTTCTAACACACCATCTGTGATGCACCCAATATAGGTTTAACCTAGTAAGGATACAAGAAGTGCCACATAAAAATAACAGTGAGACACACAGATAACATATGGTCAGAATCCAGAAGATATATTACAGTGCAAGAATTAGGGGATGTACTAAATATATTAACAAACTAATCAATCCCAACTAATAGCAGGCAGTTACCTGTACTGATTGATAACACAGAAAACAAATTACCCTTACCTCCAGAAGGAAGAAATTTATCATACTCAACAGTCTTCTTTGCAATGACGTTCACTGCCAGTGTAAATGCGGATGAAACATAATAACATCCAGGCTCTGCAATCACATTAATACCAGATTCCTTAGGAAAGTAGACATCCAGCAATGGCCTGATGACATGATTAACCTAGGAAATTGAAGTCAGAGGTAAGGCCAATGAACTTAGCTTACAGACGTATCACACACACACACTTCCAAAAAGCAACAAGTCTAGTCAGCACACCAAATGCTTACTCTGGTCCTCCATTCTCTGAGAAAAGCCTTTACCAGAGGGCCACAATTTATAAAAAACATGTAAGAAAAATGGTCCTTCGGCTAAACACTGAAGATTGAGAACCATGAGTCTGAGTACTACACAGTCTCTTTTCACAAGCAAAGTTCAAGCTGTGGTACACTCGTGACTGCACCAGTAACTTCAGCGCCCATCCAGCACAACAGGTAATGTAAAATGACACGTGAACTCACAAGGATGGGCAAAGGGCCTTTTTGTTATCAGTTTTGAATAATATCATATTCACAGAATGATTTAATACTAATGTTCGTATCTTAGGACAGATATTTGAAGATTAACAGATATTTTGGACAAGTAACAGAACCATTAGAATGGAGAGAAAAGCCCTGATTGCTGTTAGTAACTCCTCATACATCACTTTCACTGTCATGAATTCACGGAGTCTATGTTTAAGACAACATAACAGTGTAAACTGGGTATCCTGTTTTACGTGCCACTTCATACTAAAGATGGCATTTACACCAGATCAGAGGCCAGCCAAATCAAGACCTTTAGCTTTCAGTTCCAAAGCAAAATACTGGAAATTTTCATCCAGTAGCAACAGGGTTTATGATCCAAAGCGTGCTAAGGCACCCTGGCACAAACCATGCAAGAGTCACCAGCTGGACAACAACAGTCAAGAAAAACCTTGAATTATTACTACTAGGGCTGCTTCAGATAGCAATTTAATCTCTAACACACTTAAATGGGCATTCACCCAGGATGAATGGCATTAATTGAAGTCATGATCACCTCCAAGAACAGATTACACTACCCATCATCAAGAATACAAACCCAACTAGTGAGATCTTGAGTTACAGTCTAACATGGAACTATGCCTCAGCTATCAATTCAAGCTGCAGTTTGAAGGCTAAACACTTCAACTTCTTCAAAAGTAAGAGTGTCAACTTCCAACACATTGCGTACCTCTTCCAGCTGAAGTTCTGAACCTGTGAAGCCCCCACCAATATCCAACATGTTCATCTTAAAGCCAAATTCTTCCTAAAATGCATAGGCAAAAGGTAAGTACATGAACAACAGTAAATGCAAAAATATTATATTGCTGCTTACTGTGTATTTAAGTGTTTGAAACTATTTAACTGAGTATATCTAATGAGGGAGTAAGGGCATAGCACAGCTCCATTAAATCTAGAAGCAAAGCACTGGGATGTCAATAGAGGCTGGTTATACAATTCTCTGCAAGTCCCACAGCAATATCAAGTGGCTTTTGTTATATTCAGACAGTATTTGCTGAACAGGTGGTGTATTCTGACAAAAGGCAGTTTTAGGATTTCACTAATTTTGTGACAAGACCACTACAACAGATTTGCACAAAGATCAGCAAGATTCTCAATTTTATTGCCCCCATATGTTACCAGCCACAGCTAAGGCACTGCAGCAATAAGAGTAAAAAGACTTGCAGTCTTCTCTGTTTAGTTTACAAACTCCTCATTCCACAATAGATGCCAGCATACAATTGTTCAATTTCAATGTAACCTAAAGGCATCAGTTGTGTATTTACAGGACTGAGATTTGAATATCAAAAAGCTTTGACCCAAAGTGGAAAACTAATTTAAATAGCATGTAAGGCTACTGCCTATCAGTGGGACAGTATTCATTACCATAATTAGGACAAAGTTGGTTTTACCTCTACCACATATCACAAAGGAATATTTAGTCCCTTACTAAAAGTTCCATCTCCAATGATTTCTTTTGGAAAGAATGTAGTTGGTTTGTTAGTATGACTGGAATAGAATGGATCCTCTACTGTAGTAATTGCCTGTGTGTATAGATCTACTTACAGCCATATCAAACACACACCGAGCATCAGATAGAGCATGAATGTATGTTTGCAGATCCTTGCAAGAGCCTGAAACATGAAATCTGAAAGAAATAAAAACACAGTAAATACACTGAACCATGCAGCTTTCAGACCAAGCAAATTGTTTCACTATATAAAACAGCAACAGAAGCAATTAATTTCCAAGTGTCTCAAAACAAGCTTAAATGATAATACAGCAGCTGTGCAAAGAAGCTCAGACCACCACCACTGCCTTCTATTTCACTGAATTTGTACTTGGGAGTTGCGTTCATCTTAATCCTAAGAATGTCCCACAATATTCTCATCTTTGAGAAACAGATTTACTGAATTTTTCAGTCTTCGCTATCAAAGTGGCTAAAAGTTGTTCTTCAGTAGGTGCCAAAGCTGCAGAGAAGTACTGATGCCTACCACAAGCTCCTGAATGCCCTCTTGTTCCTTGTTCAAAAGATTCAAGTACTGCCATATGCACTTAGCCACTGAGGTGCTAAAACAAGTGTCAGCATTCCTATGGGTTTCCTCAAGAGGAGTTAGTCTACAGGTTCTAGACAGACCATACACACACCCGAGCCACAGTGTTCTCTGCTCCAAGTCTTAGAATTTAAGGAATGCCATTTTGAGGCAAAGGTCACTTTCAAACTTACTTGCATGAATCCACGTGTGGATTTTAAAATTAAATAAAAATAATGCAGAAGACCCGTGTGATTTTTATAAAAGTTGGTTACGAAATTATATGACAAGGAATGTTTTTTTCAGTAGTATCTAATTTTTAAGACATTTGTAGTTTATGCTTTAACATAACCTTTATCCATTTCAAACAGATATACATCAAAACATTTGTGGATTAAATAATCAAAATCTGGCTTAATATTTTTTTTATTGTCTTGATGACCCATTTATTTGTTTGGTTGCTTTCCTAAAACAGTCATGAGTGTGCGACAGATTTGTAGCTGACAGTAGATGGGCCAGACTTGTGCATACATTTTTTTCAGATACAGTAAAATATGTCAAACCATGACAACTAGCACTTCTGTTATGATGTTTATTGCTGGAAAAACACAAATTGAGTTACCACAGAAGTTCAAGAGTACAGTTAAGAGAATAGGAGAGGCTTCTAAACTTAGTTTTCATGCTGACAGAAGGATTTATGATACTTCATTTCATATTGTTTTGATGTCTGTAATAGTTACTTTGTTTCATAGTAGTTTGTGCTTGCAAGCAAAAGATCATGATTCTAAACTGATGTGATATTGTTTGTCTGGGGTTTTTGTTGATTTTTTTTTTTAAACCTTGCAAAACAGTGTCACCAGGGAAAAATTCTTTTCTATTTTACATCTTAAGTATATCATACAAATATCTGCTCAGCCAGCAGAGGACAATGAAGTTACTCACTTGACACCAACTATTTGGACTCCCAGCTCCTTAGCACATTCCATAAGGTGCCTACAGTTCTTCAGGGTGGTGCCAAACTTCATATTCATCTCCTCACCAGCAGTAATGTCTTCTGTGGCAATGTGCAGTAAGAGCCTAAGAGAAGGGGAAGATGATTTGGGCAGTTGGTTTACATCATCAGCACATGTGAAGCCTGAAGATTGTCAGAAGTGTGTTGATTATGTTGTCAGTACTCCAGCTCCATCGATGGATGAATCAAGGCAACCTAATAATAACAATCCTGTACAGAGAAAAAACTAGCAATTAGGGGCTAAAACATGGAGCCAACAAGGACAAGGGATTTCGAAATGCAGCAACTAAGACTCTTGCAGCAGCAAGAGTCTGTTGAGTGCTGTAATAAAAAATAACGTTACCTTCTACTAAAGTGTAGTTCCTCATAAAATCAGTAAGACTAATATGATTTTTCCCATCTCTGTACTCCTCCCCAGCCCAGAGGTTCCCCTATCAGTCAGACATGTATCAGATTTAGTTAAACTCAGCATCTGGAGAACACCAGGCTGAAAGCACACCCTGGCCATATCACATAACCTCCCCTTCTGGCTGAGCACATGGACTCAGTCCATTCCCTGCCCCTCTTTCCAGGACACTGTAGAGCAGAGAGGCAGCAAGTACCATTTCTTACATTCTTATGCAATGGGACATCATCTTCTGTCTGGTCAAAGCCTCATTTTGGGTAGGTCTGGCAAACTGCAGTGCCAATGCTGACCTTTTTCTATGTTAAAGTAACACTTGAGGGGCAAAGGGGTCACATCCAATCCTCTAGAAACATACCCCCAAACCTCTTAAAATCAAATTGCTGTTCACTGAGAAAGTCACACTCCCACAAGATCAATTAACTAGTCATGCTGTAAACTAAACAGAGGTGGTGCCATGACATACATGCAGACTGGACAGAGCACATTGCAGTTAACCAGGACGGGGAGTGTAAATGAATGGAGGAAACTCTGCACGCAGTACAACAGCTCTTCACAAGACAAGCAACAAACAGAACTCAGCCTAGCCACTACAGCTGGCCTAATATCTCCCATGACTTCTACAGGTACTTTCCAAATGTTTCACGGTGTGTTTAACATGCATTTTGTAAAGAGTAAAGAGTCCTAAAGTTCTCAAACAGGTTGCCCAGCAATCCTTGTTAATTTATATAACTTTGTCTTGAGAAACTGATGAGCATTTAATTTCCTGCTTCTCTACTAGAACAGAAAATTCTGTTCAAAAAAACCTGTAGTCAGACAATATTTTGTGAAGCATTTGGAAAAATGTGCTAACTGTAGCAAAAAATTGTTACAAGTCAAACTCTTTAAAATGTAACAGGAAAATTCAAATCCATACTATCATTTGTAACCTCATATTAAGATTAGTCAAAACCCCTCCTTAAAGACATCCAGTCTTTATTGAGAAATTGTTACAGCAGCATTTTAAGTGAATAAAGATATTTTCCAAGCAAAACCCCTAAATCTGACTTATAGAAATCTAAGATATTGTCAGAATCATGGAAATAAATCAACAAAAACTAACAAACTCCACAGTCATAGTGAATAACTGGTAAAACACTAATGATTTAACAGTCAGCTTTAGCATTGCCAAGGCTATCAAATCCATTAAGTATACCAGAGCTAGCAGTTTCAGAGAAGTTTATTTATAATACATAGTATTTTTGCACAGAAATTTCTCTCCAGTACGCAAAGCACAGACTTCCATGAAGATGGAAGTGTAATCACCAGCAACAGCAATATTAAATCTTGTAAGCTTGAACAAACAAAAAAACCTCTCAAATACCACCACCTCCCGAAAAAAACACCAAAACCAAAACCAAAAGCCACAGTTCTGGGAGAAGACACAATACTTTAATAATGACTATTCAGAATCAAGGAATTTGTTAAGGATATCAGGAATTCAGTTTCTCCAATGACATTTATGGAAAGCTATATATTTAATCACTGCAAAGCACTGTAACATTCATGTAGACTCTGGCTCCATATTTCTTAAAGGCATGGCCCAAAGCTAAAGCATTCATATGTGAGGGATGTGATAATAAATGACAGGAGTGCCTCTCAGTCCAAGAGACCATTATACATTGCCAGCAATAAAGTTGCTGTATTTAACAGCCAGATTATCAGCTTTTCTACAGAGAGCAGCTGAGCTAATACCAAAGTGATGAAAAAATTTCTCTCTGTTTCAATTGTGTGGAAATACCTGTAGGTCTATTTAATAGACCTGCAGAATGAGCCCAAACCCCAAGTGGGATCCAATGCACACAATCACTTGCTGGTAGCTCAGCCCTGACTTCAGCCAGAGCCCTAATATCCAAACAGAACTCCCTGGAAAGTAACACTGAAGCCAAAACAGAGCAGGAGGAAGATGTTATTTGCAGATGATGAAATACTAGACTTCTGAACTTTAATCACTGAAACCTTTACATGAAGATTGCCCTAAAAAATCACTTTCTCACAAGATTTCTCCCAAACCAAGGGCCATTTTAGGAAGCAGAGACTCAGTAGGAAAAGATGCAAAAAAGCTGCTTTCAAAGGAGACAGAAGATACAAGTGATTTGTACTAAAGAAGCCATGTGCTTTGCTTGCAACTCAAACCACCCAGAACACAAGCAAAAAGTTTCCCCCACACTAAAAGCAAAACTAGAATTTTGACACTTACTTGGCATTTGGATGGTTACGTGAAATTTTCTTCAGCTCAATATCATTGTCACAAGTCATGATGTTTATCCCAGCTTTTGCTGCATACTTGATCTGAGAGGCTTGCTTGCAAGGATTTGTGTATATGATGTTTTCAGGAGAAATGCCCAGGTCTTGTACCAAAGCCATTTCAGCCTGAAAAAGAGGAGCATACCAGAGTTTGACAAAGTGCACCATACCATCTTTCCTTTAATTTTTATTAGATGTCCTCTACTACCACATTAAAGAGAAAACTATCTACTGCTTCTAGGGCAGAAGTACAGATTTTCAACAGCCAGGTACAAATGAGTTCACAGTTCAAATTTTATTTATAATCATGGCACTTAACACCAAAGAGATTAATTTAAACCAGCAGACATATGAAAGAAAATCAGGCACACAGGCAAGAAAAACTTACTTTACTGGAACATGCAAAACCAACACCAAGGGTTCCCAGAATTTCGAGTACACCTGGAGTAGAATTGCATTTTACAGGATAAAATGGCTTTATTGGTGCCATCACATTCTGCCATTGCACGTTATTCCTTACAAGCTTTCCAAGATCTCCAACATAAAATGCCTTTTTTCCAGTCTGCAAAAGGAAGAATAGGAAAATAAAACGTCTGAAATTGTAGGTTTGCTGTCAAGACAAACAACCCAAAGTCTTAAAGAATTATGTACCTTTTTTAACCTACTCTTAACTTTTAGATTTGACCTTGAATAATGTTTTTCTGTTCACCTAGCGATTTGAACTAGTTTAAAAAAAACCAAAGGGAATACCTACCACTTCAGAGATATTATGAATGCTATTGACAATATTCTGAGATTTCTGAATAAAAGATTCTACTTAAATGCCAAATGCTGATTTTATCAAAAAATACAGAATAAATTACACATTTCTTTCAAGTTTTTATTTTCAGAAGTCTGCAGCTATTTATAGAAAGAAAATCCACTGGGATGAGAGCTTCCACAGTCTCAATATAATTTACATCTTATTCTACAAGGAATAAAATCTTATGCACTAACATTATTTTAACCTCCAGCTAACAGCTTGTTTTAGTGAAAATTTGTCTTATGGTATTTTAGTTCAGGAAGTCAAGTTTGAGACTGTTCTTCACATCCTGTGAAGAATGAAGTTCCAAAGGATTTTTAAGAACTAGACTCCATGTTAAAGGTACAGAATCAAGTACATAATCTTTAAGAAAATGCACTGACTTTTCTGGAACTGTTAAGTTCCCTCTGCACATCTGTTACTACATAGTGTTTCCCACTATCAGGTCATGATGCAGGTGTAGTGGATCAAAATGCAAACAGATCATTCTAGATTTGCTCATAATGTGCACTCAATAAAACTACTGTAGGTGAATGACCTACTGTGACCATCACAATTATATATGATGGATCTGAACTGAGACTCTACATCAAATGTTAATTCTAGCACTTGACTTTTTGAAACTCTAAATGTCGTGGTTTATTTTATACAAAGTCTTTATTTCTGTTTAAAAAACACAAATAGAAATTCCATCGGGTGGAAGCATACTGACCCCCTGTACGGGTCACCAGCAGGAATGGGATCTGGAGCTTTAGATCCATGGCACAGACCTCTACCCCTTGAGCTAAAGGAGTAAATGAAAGCAGCAGGAGGCAGCTATCCTCTGTGAGCCAGCCAGTGGTTGGAGACATGACATGTTGCCAGTAGTTTACCTATTTATTTGCTAGACAGAAAAAGAATATTAGGAATCAGGATTTGGGAATCCTACACCTGAGTTCAGAAGGCCATGGAATTTAGCTATTTGCTGTACTATAGTTGACCACTTGCACATGAATATTAGTTCTGATAAACCAAGGGAAAAGTGAGCAACTCACAGGTATGGCATATGAAGAACACAGGATTTGCTTAATGAACCTTTTTTTAGAAGTTTGCTATTTCTACAACGTTGTCTGCAGAACAAAAGGTACATCTTCCTGCCTCCTAAGAAATAAGTGAAGCCTTTTTCAAAAAATTACTGTTGTATACACAGCATTATTCAGCTTTCTCTCCAGTTGGCTGCTGAACTTCAGTAGCTTTTGCACCAGTTTGTCTTGAAAGATAGCACCTCATGATATGCTTGTGTACCAGAGTTTCCAGTGGGGAGAAGGGTAACAGGAAGATGTATGAATATTAACTATGATGGCCCACAAAAAATTTAAACATGGCTTTAAACTGGCTCAGCATACACATTTGTCAGAACTCTGCCACATTTTCAGGGAAAGAACAACAACAAAAAGGTTCTAACTGAATATATCCACTTGCATAATTTCAGGTGCTTGATCTAAACCCCACTGCTAATAAAATCTCTCAAAACAATGAGATGGGAACCTGTATTAAATTACATCAGCCAAACTACTTTCTTGCTAGTCACACTCAGGGCAGTAAGAGTTGATGCCCAAATTTCCCCAACAGAATTCTGCTCAAAGCAAGAAAACAGCAAAGAAGCAGAATTAGAAAAGGAAACTACTTTATAAGGTGAGTGAGGACTGTTTCTCTGTTGCTGTCAGCTCATTAGTTCTAAAATACTTTGACATAGTTTGAAGATTTAGGGAACTAAATCAAGATCTGGGAAGCAAACTTACATGAGTATGTTCATAAATACAGTTGTCAATAACATCTGCAAGAGTTGCTCCTTCATCCAACAGACCAATGGAGTAATTTGCATCCTCAAGAAATCCTTTCATCTCAGCCGTATTCCACAAAGCCGACAGTCATAAACCAAGAAACACAAGGGATGGGCTTCCAAGCCTTATATCCGGGTCCTTAAATTATGCAACAAACTGTACAAAGAAAACATGTGTCAATGGAAAAAGAGGCACAAAGCATACCATGCAGCTATTTAAAAATCAACTTTCTACACCTGATGTCCTACAAACAGTAACACACCCTCTAAAAAGACCAAAGATGTTTTACTCTGCTCACCCTAAATTTGTCAGAGATATGGACAGAACCATTCTACTGAAGCCAAGAATAAAACAGAATCTGGGTACTTTAAATCTGATACTAACTTCCAGAAACAACTGATGCACGGCTGTTCCTGAGAAGAATTCCAGACTGTGTCACGCTGATCTGCACGCTATGAAAATACTGCAAGTGCAGCATATTTGTACAAATGTCTCAGCTCAGTTCTTCTCCAGTACAGCATCTCAAGCAATGCTAGCATTTGAGTGTGCAACTGGAGACTGCCAGAACATTTCTGAATTTGTTACAGAAAACTTGTAGCTTATTGATTAAATGTTAGCAGTGATATTTGTGTTAACATTCTAGGTTTTTGATGCTTATTTATAACCACTGCATTTACCCATTGTATTTATTAGACATTTATTTTGTTGCTCTGTTCATAGTATTACCTACAATACTTAAAATAGAGATTAATAAAAGAAGCCACTAGGCTAGAAGTAATTTTAAAAGTGACAATCTTAGCATGTAGAAATGTTATTAAAATAAAGTAATTGTTACAGTCTATCTTTATTTGCATTTTGCTTATCCTCTTCACTGCAAATTAGCTTAGTAGCTTATACAGTGTTTTCCAAAAGACAATCTAAATCAAAGTCCAAACACTGAAATCACTGTTAAATATAATCTTAGAATGCAGACTATTTAATCACAAGTAAAAATCAGCAGATAGCAGAAAATTACCAACAGCTGACTATATACCTTCATTTGCTTTACTTGATGAATAGAACAATCTGCAGCTCACATTCCATTAGAGTTGTGGCTCTTGTTTAAAAGCAGCTTATTAGCTTACATCAACCCACTGACCACATTTTTGTTTCAACTGTCATCTTTATGACTAACACAAGATTGATCAAAACCAGCTAGCTAACTAGATTCCTTCTCTAAACGAAGGCCTAAGACATTTTTAAATCTCTCAACAGAAGTTGCACAGTAGTTGTAAAAAAAGGTGACGGTGTTTTCTAAAGCCACCTGCACTTAGATTTGCAAGAGTAGAATTGTTTTTCTAATTAAAAGTATTTATAGAAACCACAAACATTACAGCTGAAAGCCAAAAACACTTCATGAGGACTACAAAAATTAAGATAATTTTGGCTTCAAATCATCACAGAACCATGGTATTAACTCAGTCTTATGTTTCATCCACTACCTTCATACAGCAAAACAAAAAAAAAAAAAACCCAAAAAAACCAACAAAACCAATCAAACAAAAAAAACCCCAACCAACCAACCAAAAAAAAAAACCCAAAAATCCCACCACAATTTGCAACATAGGTTTAGTTAATGTTGTCAACAATATGAAAAAAGTTACTTTGCTGTGGTTTAATAGTAGCAGAACTAAACAGCAGTTGCTCCTGCCTGTCATTATGCCAAAAAATCAGAAAGGAGACAGCAGGTTTTCTATATGCTTTCTGCACAACTCAACATGCTCTCTATGTTTGTTACAAGAAGAATTTACTGCCAGGTGAACTAACTCAGTGGCAGCAAGAATATTTCTTTCTGTTCAGAAGCTGAATGATAAAGACAAGTACCCCAGGTAAGAAAGAGTTGTCTCACACATATAGAATGAGTCCTATGATTATTTAAGGGAATCCTGAAGATCCAAAACAATCACAGAAGAGCAAGATAATTATCACATTGATGTAGGGTTTTAATGAGTTATAAAAACAATGACTAGGTGGTAGACTATAATAAACAGGAAAGTCTTCAGTTAGTCATACCTCAGTACGAGATTAATAGCTAAAACTCCTTAAAAATACCACCAAAGAATAAAAGAAGCTTGTGAACTAAGTTTGCCTTAGAATCAGTCCAACAAAGATGAACACCACAGTCATCATCATAAAATATCCATGGTTTTCAGAGGCAGAGGACCAAAAAGGCTGAGTTATCTTTTTCCCCCCCAGAAAGAAATGCTGGCATCATTTAACTGAACATTTTTTGTAAGGAATTACTATATATACATGGCTACTACTTAGCTAGATTTTTAAATTTTGGTTGAGGTGGGTTTTTTTTCATGCTAGAAGCCACTTCCTACACTCTAAAGCTTGCACAGTCAAGAGTCCCTTCCACCCCAGATCTACCATACTGGAAGGTCTCAGCACACCCACTGGAACCAGTCACAGCCCTGAATGATTTTTAGACTCATCAGACACACATAGCTAATTGCTTGTACCTGGTATTTCAAACGAAGCAGCTCAATCTAACCAACTGCACACTTTTCCTCTTTGAGAGTGGATGTTCATCTGAGTTACAGTGGAGTAGATTTAAGATACATGTTTAGCACACTTAAAAGAAAATGGCTTTTTTCCCATAGTTAATGACTGTGGTGTCTAGTTTTCAGAGAGATGGTATAGAAGAATACTTTCCTTCAAAAGCTGCCTTTTAATTTTGGGGAGACACAGTTCAAGTAAAGCATGGGGGTAGGACTCTTTACCACCAACACCCAAAGCTGCCACCAACAAAAAGAACAATTATCTAGTAAGTTAGTTTTGATTAAGATTATTTCCTAAACAAGACCTGTTTCCTGCTCATTCATCAAAAAGCATCTTATGGTCAAGAGGCAGGGACCAGAAGGAATATATGCTAGTACAGATTCAATACATAAATTGCAACAAACCATAAACAACCTGATATAACCTCTCCCAGGCTGCTGAACAGTAATTGCTTTTTCTAAGCACATCCAAGACATGGAAGCTCTTCCACTTAACAAAATTAATCTAGTAGAAAGAATGTGCTAACATTTGTTTGACTACTGTCCAATTTCCTCTTTTTTGAATAAATTGTATCTCTTCAGTCTTGAGAGGAATAATATTCTACAAAGAAAACAAATTCCTAGAAGCATTGCTACAGCATCACTACAAGACAGTGGCTATAGAAACATTTCTTTAAGGGGTTATTTACAGTAGGATTTGGGACTCTGCTATCACCTTATTCTGTCCTGACTGGGTCCCTCCTGAGAGGGGGAGGAGAGTCAGTGATAAAATTTGCAGTAGGAAATCTAAAGGATTGTTTAGGACTTTTTTTGATGTCTGTAAGATGAGTCAGAATTCATTAGAGTACAGAGTTCACTCCTTGCTGGAAATGCTGACTTGCTGCAAGTCATTATTTGACAGACTCGGTGTGGTAACACCACCCATTTTCACACCTGAAATGTTAGTCTGCACAATGCTCCAGGACATATACTTTAAGTCAAACAAAAGCTGTCAAGTGGTATGAGACTTCTACATAGGCATGTAATTGCTTTCTTTGAAGTAAGCATTACATCCTCGGGCTCTTTAACACAATGACTTCCCAGATGAAGAACTATAAGATAAAAGTGTACCTATTTAAACACTGCAATTACCGCAGACAGTGGGAATAAAAGAAAATTAAAATTCTCTGAACAGAGAGTCTAAACACATGCTTGTCACATGTAAGCATCCGTAACACAGGCAATTTTAATTTTTTTCTTTACATTGTCCAAACTATGTATTGTTTGGCCTATGAAAAGAACTTTAAAAAACACCAAACACCTATAGGTTTGGGTCTTTCAATAAAAACTTCCTCTGCAAAAAGTCTCTGCAAATGAAATGGGCTCCAAATAATGCCTTTCAACCACATGTTATTAATCAAAAGTATTTATGACCTATAACAATTATGCTGATGCAAAAATCATTAAGGGCTAAAACCACAATATTTTCTCATTCCTTCCAATACTGGTTCTTCAGGGGTAACAAATCAAAAAAGAAACATTTTGTCACTGACACTGGCAATTCAGTACTGAACAGGCATATTAGAAAAGTATATATATTATATATATACTCACTCTACACCAGTCCTCTGCTTTCAGTGGAGGGAATACCTATTTATAATGGGAATATCTTTAAAAAAAAAAAAATCCAAGACACCATTTCACCAACTTGCATCACTGTAATTCGGTTAGCTGAATGAAGCCCCTAACCAGCTGATGGAAGTGCTGAAACAGTTGTCTTTTTTTGCATTACTGAAGTTACCTCTCAGTACAAATCCACTGAAGGCTGTAAGTAGGGTACCCTTACACCTTAGGTCATTCGCAGTTTACTCTATTCTCTCAACAGCATTGCACACAGGTAAAGTGAGCAATGCAGAAAGAACAATTCTGCTGAAGCAAGCAACCGGGATAGATACTGAAAAAACAATGTCCCATCCAGCATCTTCTACTGGAACAAAAGCCTCCTCCTGCATTCTTGAAGTTTGAATACATTATTCAGACCCAATAAGCTCACAAACCTTACAAAAGAATGGTTACTCTTCTAAGTGTACATACACTTCCGTGCTAGCAGACCAGCACTTCTCTTTTGCAACAGTGCAAGCAGTCACTTCCCTATTCTATCTCCTTACTTGCTCAGTCAGTGTTAGTATTTGGCCTCTCCCCACTGCCCCCTACAACTCCCAACTCTCAGCGCTCCTGTTCCCCAGCTGCCTCCAGCTCCATCTACACTAAGTCATGAAGGCTTTCAAAGTCAGCCAGTCCAGATAGCTCCTGCTTCCACTTGGCATAGAGAGGGCTTGTTAATACATCAGACTTCCATTGCTGGTTCCCATCATTTCTGACCAAACAGGTGGGGCAATAAATAGAAGAGATTTTAAAGGAGCAAGACTTCAGGCCACAGTTCCAGGCTGCTCAGGGAGTGAGAGCTTGAAGAGCAGACAGAACTAAACACCAAGTCTTCCCCTGCCAGTGTAACACAAGGGCAAACTGAGATGGAGAAAATCATAAAAAGGAAGTGAGTTTAATGGAACTGTAAGCACACCTCAGACAGAAGATTTTTTTTTAATTTTAGTTCCACTGGAACATCAACACATAACATTACAGTTATATTTAAGAGCTCACTTGACCTCTTTCCCATAAAATTGCTTTGCAAGTTGAATAAGACTTAAAGTGCCAATTAGCCCTCTAACTCGAGTCTTAGCTGCATTTGAGGCAATGACTTGTGCTTCAGCACACCAAAACAGGTACAGATTTCCTGGCAAACACCACTGCTACCTACATCACCAGTAGATTCAATACTGAATTACTTCTATTTGTGTACAGTACATAATTGCTGAACATGTAATAGATCCAGTCTCAAAATAAATACACATTATCTGAACATCCAGCTGCAAATAAAGCAAATCCAGCGGCATTTCCATTCTAGGGCAACCTGTACTTTGCATCATCTGTCACAGCACGGGGTCTACCAGTTAGAGAAGGAATATCTCGAAGAAGGTACCCGAACAGCCTTCACCTCAAGAGTAAGAACTTCTGTCACAGCCAAAATTATCTTCAGAACAGTTTTAGAAATTAAGATGCATGTACAGTATCTTAAGATTGTATACTTTATTCACTCCTTTCTAACAATTCTTCTGCCTTTCCTCGCTTTTTACTACTTTACTTTATTCCTGTTCAAGTGCAAAATGTCACACAAGAGTTCTAGTCACATACAAGAGCAAACCAAAATTTAAACTGAACAGGAGAAGAAATTTTCTCAGCTATTTTGCTTATAAAAACCACACCTTAAACATAACTGTGATATTCAGAAAATTCTCAGTATTAACTGAATTAATTTGACTAGAGCATTCAACTACAAAGAACCAGATATATGCAGTTACTTCAGTAAGTTTCAAACAAAACAAAAAGAACATAACCTCTGGAGATATAGCCAGAAGTCAGGATAAACCAAGCTCCTCCTGTGCCTCAGCAATTGTGGTATTTTCAAAGAATTAGTTTATCTACATAAAGTACCTTATTAGGATGCATAATAACACAACTGGCATTTGGAATCTTTGTGGTCTTTAAAAAGTACCTGGCTCAGTGATATGTACTTAACTATTTGCAAGTTCTACATTAAAATGCATTCCATAATTTATAGGTACTAAGCCAAACAAAAACGCCTTCAGCTAGACAGGAAAAAAGTAATACTGTATAAATACTGTATAAAGGCAGCTTAAATGCATTTGTAATATCGGAGTTAAGACTATTGTTAAAAACCACATAAAACTATTTTAACTTAACAGAACATGATAACCACATACATTTCAGAGTTTTCTGTGCTCCTTAAGATCAGCTAAATGCATTCATTTGTTTTCCATTATCATGGTCTTGTTTTTCTTTAATACCTATTTGCCACTTCAAAATATAAAGGCATTTATGATTGGTAACATTTTCCATCCAACATTAAATTCCACATTCTACTGTAATCCCACTACAACTATTTGTGGAAACGAATAGTAATTAACAAATAATGGAGACAGGCATTTGGGAAGGCACACCCTTCAGGATCAGCCTTAGTTACTGTTTACAATAGCAAATCCTAACTATTTCAGTATAAACTACTCTAAAACTATAGAGTACTCAGCAAATCATGAGTTGATGTAACAGTCATGCCATCCAATTCCTGACTTCAGAATTATCACTGAGACTGAAGTTACAGCATTTAATTTCAGGATTTCTGCAGCCAACACATCTAATATAGAAAAGTAGCTTTATTTACCAAGTTTATTGCAGAATTTCATGAGATAATTGTACCAAGAAAGGTGTTAGGTGAGTAAAACATTTAGTTTAGTCCCCCCTGCCATCCTGAATGAAAGTCCTATGTAATTTTGTTAATCTACATCCAGACAGTTACATTGCTTATCAAAAAAAACAAGCTGTATTTTTGCAAGGGGTTATCCTCCTGCATGCAGATGAAGAGAGACTTACATGGACAAGTTAGGAGATGGAACCCTACTATCATCAGCTAGGTTCCCAAGGTGGCTCAGCGTTGAAGTCGAACTGCTCTCTATAAAGCACTTCTCCTAAGCCTTCTGGATAGTTGTAAACTTGATCAGAGATTTTGCCCTGTAGGGAGAAAAATGCACACAAAAATGTATCTCATAGCCAGAACAGAATAAAAGCTTTATCATAAAACATGTAACAAATGCCTTTTCAGTAGTGCTTTTAAGAAGGCTTGCAACACCCCACCATGAATGTTTATTATCATGTCAAACACACAGTTTTCGAGAGCTAATATAAACTCTTAGCCAGAACAAGACAGATGTACAAAGAACTGCTAAAACACATGAAACTGCTTGTTCTACTTATCTTTCACAGTCTGAATGAGAAGATTTTCAAAACTAATGGCAAAGAGCTCTACATGATCCTGCTGTAGGGTAGTATGTCTTAATACTGGATTACTCTCCCAGTGTTTTTAACCCTGTAACCACTGCATTCTTCCCCTCCCCACTTCCTTTCTATTTTAGAATTCCCTTGCCACGTTCCTTATCCCTCTGCTGTGAATGAACACGGCATGTGGGTGAAAAAGCTATGTGGGTGAAAAATAGTGCTTTATATAGCGAAACTGAACACCACACAGACAAATCCAGAAATGAGCAAGACAGTAAAAACAAAGAAACTTATGCTTGCCTTCAGGAATGAGGAAACATTTCAGCTGCCCTTAAAGGCTATTACACATATCACCAAAGCAGCATTTTGAAGTACAAGGCTAGCTTACTCAAGGTAAAGCAATCACACAAACCAGAACAATGAGTGTAAAAGCAGTCAAGGAAACATTTATTAGGCCTGTTGAGAAGTTATTCCTCCTAAAAGCAATAATAATTTTCATGGAATTAAATACCAAAAATGGTCATGTGTAAACCCAACATACAAAGTTTCTACAAATTTGCTGCAATATATGGCATGGAACATAGAACATACCAACCTATTGTGAAAATAAACTTTTGATACTTTCATTATAGAAGTAATACTACATGGGCTGACTACAAAAGCCTGACTTCTGGGAATCATCCAACACAAAAGATCATCTTCACAGCCATGTTAGCCAAACACCTGAAATGTACTTTTCCACTTATTCTTGCTATTGGAAAACTAAGCCAGTACACTCCATGAAGTACTGTGTAACACACAGAGGTAATGCAACTTGAGGGTAACTGTTTCACAGCAACTCCCACAGAGCAATTCCCTGTAGTTTTACCACATAAATTAGCCTTTACTAGCATGCAACATGAAAAACAACCTCAATGCTTCAAAATTGAGATATTATGGAATTTTGCCAGCTAGAATTAGTGCATATATATTATATTTAACCTTATCCTTTTCTTTCACTAAAGCAAGTCAGTAACATTTAGTTTTGCACACAACAGTTTAACAAAAGGAAGGTGTTGCCAACATTTAAAATTAACTTGTAGCTACCCTACTTCCTACTGCTGTTCTGATTATACTCAAGAACTCATACAAATTCTCCAGTGACAGGAATTAAGTTTACCTTCCAAACTTAGCCAAACAAGTCATTAAATGCAAGTGCTTCTAGGTAGAGCACATGACCTTCAATGCAAAACTTAAAATGTAATGCGCTTCAGTCAAATATCACCTGCAATATTATGCCAATAAATATTCTCCCATGTCCCAAGGAGGAAAGTTTACAGTGAAAATTCCTGTGGAGCAGGAATGAAACCCAACAGTTTTCTGTAGCAACAGAAAACTTTGAGCTGTGCCAAGTTCTAACTGTCTTTCAGAACTTCTTTTAAATGAGAATTATTTATGTAAAGGATATACACAAACATACAAAATAGTCTGATGGCTCTTTTTGTGCAGCTTTGCCACTTCTAAACATTCACAGGAAAATTGAACAATTCCAGCCTTTCCAATTGCAATCATTTTAGTCTACTTCAACAAGCAGAAAGGGATTTTGATGTTGAGTGGCAGAGCTGGGCTACCACTTTAAGTAGAAGTGTGCAAGATGTCCATAACCCATATGGACAAACCCAGTTTTACAGAAATAGCATATGTTATGAACCACAATGAAGTGTTCTTTGTTTAAGGGTTTTAAAGTGCGTATAAAAGCATTCTTTGCTAAGCAGTGAGCTTTGACTTGTGGGAATAGTCAGCAAGGTAGCTCTGCCTTTTAATATTCAAGTGACATCGATAAGCATGTATTGATCATCTGTTGGTTCCTGTTGGTTCCTGAAGCAGGTTCCCGAAGTTTGACTACAGCTCAAACAATAGTCACAACTCACCTGAGGACTCAAATCATCCCCCAGCTGTCCACAGCACATAGTTTTGTCAGAACGCCTGCATCCCTGCAACAAGGCCTGTAAGTGCCCAGCAGGCTGAGCTTTTCCCAGTTCACTGGCCCCCCTCATCTCCCCATGTGTGATGCCAACAGGCCTACAAAACCAAGGATCAATCCATTTTCTTTAAAAAATCCACTGCATCTGTTTCTGAGAAGACAGTCTCTAGTGGCTTAAGCTAAAATATCCATTAACAAAACCATAAAAATGTAAAATTAAAATGACCTTGGACATTTACACTGAGTGACAGACTCAAAGGCACCAAAGTTACTACGGTTTACAGAAAGGCTAGGTATTTTTGAGTTACAGCAAGCCTCTTCCAGAGCAGAGAGAGGACACTGTGGCATGGGGTCCCTGGGGGGGAGCAGGTCCTGAAGGAAGCACAGATCCCTGAGGAGTTCTCCCATGAACCACACTCTTGCTCCTATGCCACATCAACAGCATCTAGAGCTGACATTTACCATTATACCTAAATTAGTGCACTACACGTTTAAGCCTCGCTTTTAGGAAGGGATAGCCTTAATTCTCTTCCAGAGTACTCTGTCTCCCCTTTAATTTGGAGAGATGGAATAATTTCCAGCAGCACTGCTGCAATCACACACCTGCAGCAGCTTTCCAGGGAGCAGTGAGAGGCAGGACCTGCAGGTCCAGGGGCCGGCTGCAGTGCTGAAAGGCATTAATCCTGCCTCTTGCCTCCAGTAAAACTGTGCCCACAGAAGAAACATTCCCACAGCTGCTCACCACCAAACACCCTCCCCCTCCCAAAGACCCTCCTTTTTCTGGGGTTTAACAGCCTTTCCCTGGAGCTCAGTGCCCAGCAGGAGGGATGGGGGAGAGCGGCCGGCTGGCTGCCTGCAGGAGGCAGGGAAGGGAGCTCACCACAGCCAGAGGCACACGGGGAAGGGGCTGCCTTGTCACAGGCATCAGCCACAGCAGCAGCAGCATTGTTCACACGGTGACAGGAAGGAAAGAACTAGACTGGACCAGTCCAGACTGGAACAAACCCCTCCTACCATCACCATTATTCACAACACCCACCTCCCCCCCAGCACCACTGCCTCCCACGTTTATCCAAGGAAGAATAATGGGCAAGTGCAGTGTCTTCAGAGATAAAAATCCAGCAGCTGGGGAGGGCAGAAGAAGTAGGGCAGAACTACCCCCCAACCCTCTCGCACGCAAGAGACTCGATCACGCATCTGACTAGATGGTAGGCATTTCTACGCTGTTTTATTTGCCTTCACACCGTGTTTTTATTCAGGGTGGCTATAACCGACTGGGACTACACAATTGTATCCTGGTTAGTCACTGGAGACTGCTGCAGATTTCTGAAACGCAGTGCTTCTCGTGCCTACAGGCACAAGACAGCTGTGCAGGATTTTTTACTGCAGGAGATGCACTTCAGAAAGGCTCAAAAGGTTTAAGCTCACTTTCTTCCCTCTTCATCACAACCAGGTAACCTCCAGCACACACAGGCATCTTCATCTTCATGGGCTCAGACTGATGACTGGAAAAGATCTGCAGTGCTGTCTGTCCAGTACTCAGCTATAACAGCATCCTCTTCAGCCGCACCACGATCCTGCACTTGCACCGTCCCACTTGTGCACACATGTGCCCGCTTGCTCACCGTGCCTTCAGCTCCCCTACCATCAGGAACAGATACCTCTACTGATCTCTCACCACTACAACTCTGCTGACCTCCTACCAAACAGGGAACGGCACCACAGCCAACACGCGCACTCCAGATACCCCATCATTTGGGTGCACACACTTTACACGCACAAATTCAGCTGGCAGCTGAGCAGGAACCAGAATCTCTTCCCCAGACTTTCCAAAAGCCACTAGTACACCAGGGCTCAAGAAGGTTAAGCTCAACCAAGAGACCTCCAAAAGGACCAGGGGCACCAATCCTGCTACTGCTACACTAAGGGTCTGACCAAGGGGAAGGGTAAAGGGTGCACCTGTGAGATGACCAGAGAGCGTGTCCCCGGGCAGAGGGAGGGGACTGCTAACGGGAGGGAAGGGCTCCCTTTCCACATGCCGGTGACCCCACGGCCCTTCTGCGTGAAGGCAGTCCCGGAAAGCGTCACTTGTGCAATGCCCTCCGCTCCTGCGCTGCGCTGACAGCCGGCGCTGCCACGCTGCTCCCCGGCGTGGCCCTTGCTGACCACGCCGAGGGGACAGGTGAGGAGACCTCGTGCAGGCGCAGCTCAGGTGAGGGGGGAAAAGTGGAGCATGGCAGCAGGAGCCCGGATGGATAATCACGCTCACAGAAGCACAACATGGCCCCTGAGAAGCAGGCGAGGAGACGCCGCGGCCATGCCACCAGCACTTCTCCTGCCTCTGCTCCCATCAGGCTGCCCAGCGCTGAAACCTGTCACACACGGCTGGCCCCGGGGGCTCGGGGGAGCTTACGCGTGTGGCTCACACGTGTAAAGGGACCCTGCAGCACCCGCACCGCAGCCCGTGCTGCCAGCCCGGGGCACTGGGCAGCCCCTCGCTCTGCGGGATCCAGGCGAGGACGCCCCTCGGCCCCCTCTCCCAGGCAGAGGCGCCCTGCGAGAGGCAGCAGCGCCCGGTGGGCGCGGGTCTCCAGCCGCGGGCACTGCCCCGGCTGCGAGGGGGAAGACACCGTACAGCCCCCCTCCGCAGGAATCCGCCATGTTAGGGCGGCCGCCGAGCCCCCGCTGCCCGCGGAGCCGGCGGCCCCGCCGCTCTTCCGCGTCCCAAGGACTGCGGGAGAAGGGGACCGGCGGCACCGCCGCAGCGTTCACCCCGGTGCCCGGCCCCCGCTCCCGCCCCGTCACCGCTCGCACGCAGCGCTGTCCGCCATGTTAGCGCGGCGGCCGTTGACCCTCCGCCCGCCGCCGCCACCACCCTCCGGGGTGCGGGGGTCCCGCCGCCCGCCCGCTCGGCCCCTGCACTGCGGCCCCGCGCCGCCCGGCGCGCCGGGGCACAGGGGGAGCTCCGGCCGTGACTCATTCCGCCGCTCTCCATCTGCCGCTGCCGGTGGCAGCCGGTCTCGCCCCACGCCGCCGGGCGGAGAAAGGGCAGCGAAGAACCGGCCCCATCCCCAAACCTCCCCGGCCGGCACCGCCACGGTAGTGCCCACCGGCTGCCCCTCCGCCCTTTCCGGCCACCACGACCACCGCTCCCCGTTCCTCCCTGCACTGCCCGAGGCTCAGGCCCCGGGCAGAGGGAAGCCCCTAACACTACCGCCCGCCGCCGGGGACCACGGACGCTCCGGCCCGGTTCGGAGCTTGGGGTGGGCGTCGGCACGGCTTCCCTCCCTCATTCCCACCACCTCCCCCACGGGCGGCGAGGGAGCCAGGACTCCCGCTCCGGTACTCACGTGAGATAACGGCCCGAAAGATTTGGTAAATCGTCTTCTCTTTTTAGGCGGAATTTTTAAAGAGGGATGTGGGAACCTACAGCAGAAATACAGGCGGCGGCAGTGGCGCCTTCCAGGGCCATAGGCTGCGGGGGCGGCCGGCGGGGAAAGCGCAGCGCAGCGCTGGGACCAGAGGGCACAGGCGAAGAGAGACAGAGCCGGAACGGGCCGGGGGCTGCGGCAGCGGCGGGCGGAGACGGGAGCGCGGCCGGTGAGCTGCGAGCGAGTGAGCGGAGACACGGGGCGAGAAGAAGGGGAAGGCACCGGCAGTGCTTTTATAAGGGCGGGCGGGCGGGGCGGCACCCGGGCCGCCGTCACCGCACCGGAGGCGGGACTCACCGCCTTCCCCCGCCGCGGCGGCCGGGGCGCGCTGGGCCGGGGCAGTAAGGCGTGTGTGCCCGGCGGGCCGGCGTGTGTGCCCGGCGGGCCGCCCGCCCGTCCTGGCTGGACCGAGAGTGCTGCAGGAGCGGTCAAGTCTTTGGTTAGCTTCTGACACAAGCCAGGGCAGGGGCACCGTCAGCATCCCCCCGGGATCCCGGGCAGGTGGTTACCATACGTGTCTTCACACGGCATCTGGGATCTCTGCTTCTGTCATGGCTTCCACTAACCCGAGACCTATTCTGTGTCACTACGGCTTTGAGCAGGTGGAAAAAGAGCCCAGGGTTCAATGATCAGCCAGAGGCCTCATTCACAGAGTTAACAACAGCCTGACAGATCGCCCTGATTCCCTGGGCATTGATAAGCTGCTCATAATGCTCACCAGAGGAAACGAATTACACTGCGTAGCTTGCAGCCTGTCTCCCAGCAATTTCAGGCCTTCAAGAATCCTGTAAGTAAATACATGAATAGAAAGCTTTGGCTGACCCATATAATTGACACAGAGTTTCACTGAAGCTCTGGAACATCTTCAGCACACCTCAAAGCTTTTAGTTCTTTCTTAATGCCTTTATGAGGGAATTTTTGCTCAGCTGCAAATAGGAAAGAGCCACCCAGAGATGAGGTGCCTCAGTTAAAGGTCACAAAACTGTTTCATAGCGGAGCTGTGGATGAACCCTGATCTACCAGCGTGGCTCTGTCATGTCAATTTTACTAAACCACACAGGGGCTGCTTTAAAAAAAATTCACTTCAGCAATCACAATTCTTTCCAGACACTAAAATATGTAGGTATGCTGTTCATTGAAACCCACCAAAAGATATACTTGTTCCAGAATGTACTTCTTCCTCTCAATGTACATTTATTTTCTTTCAAAAAGGTATGTTAGTACAGTTTGCATTTTTTTTTCCCAAAGCAAATTTGGGTTTGTTTAGTTGTATAGCACAGAGATTTAGAAAAGGAGTGAATAGACACACACCTGTCATATCTTCAGAAAAAGAATGGGACTGAGGTTCCACAGCACACAGAGATGGAGTTTGTTTACTCTTTTCATCTGTTACCATGTTCTCTTTTGCAAATAATTTTAAATGAGGAGGAAGCAAACTGAGAAATATATGCAGTCTCATTATCATGTCTCCTTTTTCGTGATAAAAGTACTAGTAGGTTATAGATGAAGTTAGTAAAAGCAGGAAGTCAGAAAACCTCTTACATACACTTGCAACAAACCCTGTATTGAAGACTAAAAATTCAGCTTTACAGTTTACAATGCTGTTTTTTTGGGGGGTGTTCTGTATTACACCCTTCATCAGTGACTTACTTGTATTCTGAGTTCCCATTCCAGAATGCAAGTGCAGGAGAAGGGATCAGATTATATTAAAAAAAAACCAAACCAACCAACAAACAAACAAACAAAACAAAACAAACCAGAAAAAGCTATAGAGAGATAGGAAAAGAAATTTGGGCAGAGCTTGGTTATGGTACAGTAATTATGAATTATTAACAGGCAAAGAAAAGAGGAAGGGATAGAGGGGAGGACAAAGGTTATAAAGTGATATACAGTGATATAAAGTGATATACAGAAGAGCAACCCAGAAATCTGTAGTCATTAGGAAGGTAGATTTTTCAAAACACAACTTTGGAAGGGATATAAACTAGGAAAAGGACTTGACTAGTTTGGAGATGTTACTACGTTTTTTATATATGTTATTAGAGGTCTCCTGTTGGTAATACTCAACGATATCCCAGTGATATATCAGTGATCTCACTGGCACATGTTACTCCCACATTCATCTTCCCAGGAGAGTTTTTGTTTTGGTAGGTAGGAGATGTTTTTAATATTCTTATCAGGAATAAGAAAATAGATGGACTATTTAAGAGGAGTGCATAGTCATGTAGGACTGGAAAAAGAACTTCAGTTTGATATGCAATTAATTGGGGGATCTATCAACTATTTTAAAAATGCATGGAGGGAGGGAGGGAGGATTTCCTGCTTGCGAAGGAAGCAACACTTGAAAACAGAAACATAAAATTCATCCTCTCAAATCTACTGGAAAAAGAAGAGTGGCACACTATTAGGGAGAGTACAAGACTGAACTGTGTAGTCACTTCATAAAAAAATGAGAAAAAAGTGATGATGAATGCTTTATACAGTGTTGCTGCTACCACAGGTGATATTAATGCAGAACTAGAAAACTGATGTCATAGCTCAATATATATATTTATTTTAGCAGTTCTGTTTTGTCTGGAGAGGCAAAATATAAAAAAAAAGCTTACATGAAATTTCCTTCTGCCTCATTTCTCCGCACTCAGTTTTAATACTTTTATTCCTAGCATTGTATGGCTCCATATCCACATTTTATAGATTAGTAGAGTAAAACTTTACATTTTCTGCTCCAAAGAGAGAAAGTGAACAAAGCACAAAATGCATCTCCAGCTCTGAGTTCCCTTTACTTCCAACTGTGAGGCACTTCTACCATTTTAGGGTTTTTTTTTTGCCTCCACACTTTCTTTTCAGTACTGCTCACAGTTGGATATAGACAAAATCGCAAAATCGGGTGTTATCCCTATGACGCAGATAAACTGGAGCAGGAAAGACATCCTTCCCCAGCTCATCTTTTGGAGTGCAAAAAATACTCACTAATGAGGCAACCCAGTGGCCAGGAGCTCCAGACTGGTTTGGACAGATGTCTGAGGGCTGCACAGCCTGATGACCTTCCCTGCTAATCCCAAGTATTTCCTTCTCTTAAGGATGTCTTCCTAAGGCCTCTTTTCTCCTCTGGTTCTCCCATTTCCTCTCGCTCTCGGATGCACCCTCTATCACCACTCATCAGCAGCAGGGTCAGATTCCACTCCTGCAGTGAGAGAATGAGATTATTTCCTCCTCCATCTCCTCTTCCTCTTCCCCCACTGCTGCCAACTTCTGCAGCGGTCAGTGTTTTTTCTTAAAGCCTCAGGTGCAGGAATTACGTGATTATGCAGGAATTTCATCTTCCATTGAAAAGAAAATGTTCCTAGCTACTGCAAACTCAGTGCAACAGAAGACAAATACAAATAATGATCCACCTTCCAAACTAGGTAAAAGGTTGCTTCATTTCTGAATGCTTGGACTTGAGAGTCTGTTCCCTGTTCCATCTCCTTTTACATGTAGTGGCACTTGGTATAGTTGACCCTGGGTATAGTTAAAAATCTGTAGCCATCCAGCTGGAGCACTCAGCTCTTGGGGTGGGAGGAAAGAATTAGTCCAAAGTGCATTTTTGTCTGAGTTGCTCAGGGCAGGAATGCCTGTGCAAAGGGAAGAGGTACGAGAAAAAGAAAAAGAAGTCTGATAGCTCTGGATCCCTCATACCCCCAATGACATAGAACTACTAGAACTTCAGTAGTCCTTCTTTTTAGTAAAATAATCTGTATAAATAGGACCGTGTCGTAGTAGTATCAATTGATACTCTGATCTTCAGACATGTTTTATTGCTGCATACTTTGGAGCTATCACTGTTCCAGCCAGTTGACGGAAATGCTCATTACCAGCTGGAAGAAGATTCATAATTATTAAAAGCTCAGAGGTGATGGGAGGAAAGACATCCCTGCCTTAACTCACAGGGACAGTCACCTTTCACCTATATTTACTGACTGTTTTTCTGGATCAAAACAACTGGGGCAAAAATAGGGTTCCACCTTTCTGTTGGTTTCAGAAGAGTTTAATTTCTATTGAGTATAATTACAGAATAGATCTCATACTCAAACCAAGTAGTTTACACAAAGTTAATGGAAACATCAGCTCAAAGCACTACATAAAGACATCACAAGTAATTAAAATTAAATTTGGGTTGTTTTACAAAGTCAGAGAAAAAGAGGGAAAGAGCAAAAGAAAAGTCAGTCTTGGTTTAGAAGTATTCAGTGTTTTACTGTAAGTTGATTGCAGTTCAATGCTGGAACAATGTCAGCTCCAAAAAATCTAGACTGGATGGGCAGAAACTAAGAGAAAAGAGCCAGCCAGAAACCAAGTATTACATCACTGCTCACTCACTCCCTCACCAGTGGAACTTGGAGAGAATCAGAAGGGTAAAAGACAGAAAACTCCTAGGTTAAGATAAAGACAGTTTACTAGGTAAAGCAAAACCACTCACACAAGCAAAGCAAAACAAACAAACAAACAAAAAAATGAATCTAAATGAATCTCTGCTTCCCAGGGGCAGGCAGGTATTCAGCCATGTCCAGGACAGCAAGGCTTCATCAGATGTAATAGTTACTTGGGAAAACAAATGCTGTCACTCCAAATGTGCCCCTTCCCTCTTTCTTCCCCCCATTTTTTTTTACTGAAAATGATGTCATGTGGTCTGGACTATTCCTTTGGTCAGTTTGGATCACCTGTCCTGGCTGTGTCTTCTCTCAATCTCCTGTGCACCCCCAGCCTCCCTGCCAGTGTGGCAGCAAGAAAAGCAGAAAAGCCCTTGGCTCTATTGTAAGCACTGCTCAGCAACAACAAAAACATCACAATATTTGAAGGCATGTGTTCAGCAAGAATTCAAATAATAGCCCTGTACCAACCCTGGTGAAGAAAACTAACTCTACCCCGGCCAAAACCAGCACAACCCAGGCTACTAAATGAGAGCTATTTAAGAGAATATTCAGCTATGAGCATTACTTGAGAGTCTAGCCACCTGCATGCCTACTCCACATTAACTGGTAAAGAAAACTTTAAAGTTTTAAGTATCTACAACATGATATGGACCTTTTACTGTAGGAAATCTGCCCAAGTCGAGATCAGGTTAGAAATTACTTGGGTTCATTGGGTTCATTGTGTGATAGATTTTGAGCTGTGCATTAATCACACCCATTCCAGTTCCTGTTATCCAGGTGCAATGGATCATCACTAATACCTGAAGGGTCAGCTGGAGACCAAAGGTTATGCTTCTGTGGAATTTATCATTTTTCATTGCAAATATCTCAGAATTGGAGAAGTGGCATGGCGTTCCCCTGTGTGGATAAACAGGAGGCACCAGTTCCCAGAAGAGTGAACTGGTCAGCAGCAATGAATCAACTTTAAAACACAACATCCAAACACTAAAGCAGGATGAAGTGGTCTGTGTATCATGCAAGGAGGTCAAAAGTATGCATATCATGTGCTGTGACTGATGTTTACTGAATGGGGAAATTATTTTTAACTTTTTTTTGGAATGAATACTCTCTCTGTTATCATTGGTTGCATTTGCAAGAAGTTTTTGTTCCCAGATGTTTATTCTCAGTCCTGTACTTCTTGTATAAGTAGTCTTCCTCAAATGTGATCCTAGCTTTATGCAATGATTAAGTGTTTTTTCAGGCTGCTTGTTTTGCTACTTGTTCTTGACAGTCACGTTTCAGCTTTCTGAGCATGCACATGTTCGTCTCATGATTTCTAGTAGCAGCATCCCCTGATAGCCTCCAGATTTGCTGAGCTTCCTCAGGCTGCTAGGGCATTTTGTCAAGAGTGAAGACTCACAGTCTTCAAAAGAAAGATTTCCAGCTAACCCCTGGAGAAGCACTTTCTACTTGTCAATGTCTTTCATCACCCTCCCAGCTCCGAGAGGTGGTGATGATCTGCCCCTTGTTATCCAAGAGCAGCAAGAAGGGAAGTGGTCTCTTGAGATTGCAGTCCAGTGCCATTGGAGATGCCTCCAAATGTGTGCCTGCATTTTCTCTCACTGACAATGTTGTCTCACACATTTTGGGGTTGAGAGAAGCACAAGTCAAGGCTGAGGCCTTTCCCAGTAGCATGAAAGGAGCAGGATTCTTACACAAAACTCTAGTGAACTCCTTTGCTACTTTAAAAGCAAGTAACAACACATTTGAAAAGCAAAATTGACCCATTTAATATAAATCCTGTAAATCTTTACTTTGCTTGCATGCTTTGAGTTTTTATGTTAGCAGGAGGAAGATGAGCAGTATGTAGAACTATTCACTTCCCTCTGCATTTGAATTTTCTGTAACATATACACTTTTCCCTTAGAAATTGAAGGCTTTAAAAAAATATTATTTTTTCTTCCACATAAGAAACCAGAAAAATCACAGATGATAGGTTGGCAATAGTGACCAGGATGAAATAGTTACCTCTTTAACACAGTTCAGAGATACAGAAGGATCTGTCACATCTGTGTCACCTACATACAGGAAGGGACAGGGTGTTGTCATGTCCATTTGGTTGTCAGAGTACTGCAGGAATGATGCTGCTGGTACTCAGGGTCTTCAAACAAGTTGTTTGTCAACATGCTTTTGAGTCCCTAATTGTACTCAACCAAATTTGATCTTCACCTCAAGAAATTGTGCCCGTGTACCTTCTACTCTTTCTCTCTAAGGCCTGGGCCTTAATGCTTAAATTTGTAGTTTGCAATTTGTTTTCTCAGCCTCAGTCTTTTTGTGATCCTCAAAAACGAGGATCACAACAAGGAAGGAAACCCCTTTTTAATTTTATTGCCATTATGATCCCTGATATTGTTTAGGACTCCTTGGCTCAAGAATGTGGAAATATGTCCTGGCTCAGATACATTGTTGGAGGTGAAACAGTACCTATGGATATCATCTGCTCAGGATACTGTGTCAGTGCTATCCCCCGGCTTCGCTATTTCCAGCCAGATTTGCAGAAGCAACAGGAAAGTTAGCAAAGCAAGGCAAACAGTGCTGGGTTATTTTTGTTACATTCAGTTTCCTTGCAGCTGGTCAAAGTACTCAGTGCCTTCCAAATCTGACCAGATAGAAATGCAAGTGAAAACTGAACTTGAAGTGAGCACCAGACAAGCTTGGAACAGTGTCTTGTGTTTGATGCCCTTTGTCCTGCCATGTTTCATCAGCAAGAGTGAGCAGCCTTTTGTGCACACTCACACCAGAAGATGTAAATGCAAAGCCAGAAGGTCTCACCTATTTTTAACATCTCCCAAACCCCAGGGCAAGACCCAAGGAGGATATTGTGCAGGACAATGGGGTAATGCCAGCCAGGAAGCCCCAGGACAGTGGGGGCTGTAGCCAGGGCCCCACTGGGTGGCTGCAGAGCAGGAAGACCAAAGGGCGAAGAGCTGCTGAGCTGAGCCGAGCTGAGCTTTCAGCGCTGACCAGTCCTCAGGGGTCCTGGTCCTCTCCCTGCCGTGGTGTTCTGCCATGTCTCTGTTGTTCACCTCCCTGCAGAGAGCTCCCAGGCCAAGGGACAGCCCCTGCAAGCTCAGCCACTGCAAGGAGCAGGAGATGGTCCGATTTAAGGAGCTGTTACTGGTACCACTGGCTGCTTCCTGCATACTTAACTCTGCATCTGTTCATGAAAAATACTGTCTAAACTGGACTTGGGTCATTAGCTTTGCCTGGTGCTCTTACACTGGGGTTTGCTTCTTTTTATTAGATACAGCTTTCCAAAGGGACAGATACTTGCTGTTCCATCTTGAAATTAAAACAAACAAACAAAGCCACCATCAACTTTCTTGTCATGTATAATATTCCTGCATGATTTAGAATTTGTTTCCTCTCTTTTCTCCTGATGGGAAATGAGGGGCAGGGACCCAACACATTATCTGGGAACCTGCTGTAGTCCCATGGCTGAACTGGATCATCAGCTCAGTTGCCACAGGAGCTGGAAGGAGAGATGGCTGCACCCATGTCATCCATCATGGGAAAAAATGCCCAAAGCAGTGTGTATTTAAGGTTACCATCTCCCTTTACTTAGAACATCCCAATATGTTGTTAGTTATGGAGCAGGGCTTTGGGTTTAGGTTTGTTGTGCTATACCAAAGGCATGCTTACCATTTTCTGTGATAGCAGCGGCATTAAATGAATGATTATAATAATAACTACAGAGTGTGTTCCTGAGGTTTTACTACATGTAAACACAATCATAAGTGTAATCAATGTCAATGACTTCCATTTAATTCTCAGACAAAGTTTGCTTTTAAATATCACACCAGATTTGACACGGTTAATGATAAATGGAATGCAATTAGTTCTACTATTTGCTTTGATGATATGCTAAATTATTTCTTACAACAGACCATTTATTATCCAAACCTAATGGTTATACTCTTGCATTTAACAAATCTAATGTATATTAAACCGTAGCAAACGGATAAGTTTCAAAATTAGATACTAAAGGCTAGAAAAAAGTTATTCTATGAATGAGTTTCATTTAATAAATCCTTGCCAATGCTCAAGTCATAAAACCTTAAATTGGAAGAGTTCTATATATATTTCTCAAAATTGCACAAATAAAAAAATAATTATGCTGCCACTTAGTGATTTGCAGTCACTTAATGGATATTTAATCTTAAGGAAAATGTTAAAATTTAAATGTTCTTATGGCATTTTTAACATAATGCATCTTCTAATTGTTAACAAGAAAATTATTACTTTTTTTTTTCCCTCCAGAAATTTATTATGAGCTTACCGTGATAATTGAAAAATTAACAAAGAGAGTGTAGTACTTCAGAAGACAAAAGTAATTTCCTAATTTTTCACTACGTGTTGGTTTTGAATGGCCTGGTTTTTGGTAGCAGGGGGACCACAAAGGTGGCTTTTTTGAGAAGATGCTGGAAGCTTCCACCATGTCCAGCAGAGCCAGTCCCTGATGGCTCTGAAGATGGTCATGTGCTGGCTGAGGCTGGGCCAAGTAGAGATGATGGTAACTCCTCTGTGATAATAGATTTAAGAAGAAATCCAAACAAAGGTGTGAGGTGCACTTTTAATTCCAGCCAGTGAAGGGGAGGAGGTGAGAACATGTGAGGGAAACAACATGGAGACACTGAGGTCAGTGGAGAAAGATGGGGAGGAGGTGCTTCAGGTGCCAGAGCTGAGATTCCTCTGCAGGCCATGGTGATAACCATGGTGAAGCAGCTGTGCCCCTGCAGCTCGTGGGGGATGCAGAGATCCACCCGCAGCTCCTGGGGGAGATGCCAGAGCAGGCGGATGCCTGATGCACTTCTGCCTGTGATCCAGTGGGAGACCCAAACAGAGACAGAGGGCCCTTGCTTCCAGCTTGGAGCAGCCTGTCACCGGAGGACTGCACCCCAAAGAAGAGTGACCAACACCATAGAAATTTTGGGAGGACTATGTGCCTGTGGGAAATTGGACTCATGTTGCAGCAGTTTTGGAAGGACTGCTGTTCATGAGAGTGGATCCACGTTGGAGAGGTTCACAGAGAACTGTCTCCTGTGGAAAGAGCCCCCATGGCCTCACAGGGGAACAACTTGTCTTCCTGAGGAGTGGAAGAAAACCTCAGGTGATGAACTGATCAAAACCCCCATGCCCTGTCTCCCTGCACCGTCGATGGGAAGGAGGGAGGCGTTGGGGGAAGAAAAGGTGCTTTTAAGGGCATATTTTATTTGTCATTATCCTCCTCTGATTTTGTTAGTAATAAACTCAGGCTGTGTCTCTACGGTGAGCCTGTTTTGCTCTTGGAGTGTTTTCTCCTGGTCCTTATCTCAACTCATGAACCCTCTGTTAAATTTTCCTCTCTTCTGTCCAGCTGTAGCAGGGGAGGGTGAGTGAGCAGCTTTCATGGGTGCCTGGCATTTGGCCAGTGTCAAACCATGACACACTTATATCCAAATTTTCTCCTATCATCAAAAGGCAAGTCTGTCCCATCTTATTTTATATTATTCGAAGTTTCAAAATAATGCAGGCAGCAAATTCTTGTTGTTGTTAGAGAAAATACTTCTATAACATGAGAGGCTACAGAAATGGACAATTAATTCCTATTTCTGTGGTTTCCTTAATAACAGCAAGCCAGGCCTACACCAAGTTGCTTTGCCCCCGTCCCCCTGCACACACTTGTCTGCCCCCTCCAAAACACCTCCTGCTCTCCCTGTTCTTCCTCCCTTCCTTTCACCCACACCTGGCTGCAGCCCCTCCAGGCACATCCCTAAATCTTACACTCTTCTGCCATTTCCTTAATGTTCTTCCTTCTATTTATCTAATTCCTCAGAGATTTTTCTCACTCTAGTACCTTCTCCCATTTTCTGAGCTGCATGTCTTCTTGCTTCTTGTGTGCAGGGGTTATTCTTCTCAACAGTTCAATCCTCCTGCAGATAATAGGAAGAGCTGACACTAGGGATGAAGGGAAACTTAGAAAATATACCAGTGTTTCATGATGAACACTTAAAAACATCACAAATATCATACTAGTCTCAGTAAAATCTTAAAAATTAGCAACCATGTATTGCCCCTTCTGCCAAGGATTACATAGAAATGAAAAAGGGCATCTTGGCATTTTTCCTTCGAAGAAAAAGAAGTGCCCTAGATATTCAAATCACCCTTTCAATTTTGTTGTCCATACAATGTCTTCATAAATCTGTTAATCTTGAATAAAAACAGTTGCAACAGGGAGATTTGACTTGGGAAATTCCACTTGCAGGACTACAGCTGATACACTGCTGTGTTTGGTAGCCTTTACTTTAAGGCTCTGCTTCATTATTTTCCTCTGTAAACTGTCTGGTCTCTAAATTCTGATCAGAAGTATATTCCCATCATCCAGATGACATCCTGTCTCCTGCCAACATTTTGCCTGAGATAACATTTCCCTTGAGGATCTCCGTCTAGATAAAAGAGACCTCCACAAATTTGGCATGACTGGCCTAGGGCTGCCTGAAGCTGCAAGCTCTGTTTAACTCTACCTCTACATTCCATAATATGTATTCATTGCCCCCACATTTATCTTAGCAAGATTCATAAAGATTTTTGGCAGATGATATATACCTTCTAAACTTTGGTTTTCCAACAGGAATAGCAGAAAGTGGCAGAGAGCTGCTTCTTTTTCAGTTTGAGGAAAGCTGCAGACAGTGATAGTAGCAGTACATCATTGCAGCAAAGGCAGTCCATCGTACTTGCTATGCCTTCCACTCAGCTCTGGTCAGATACGGCTCTGTGATTTTAGCACTGCAAAGTCTCTGCATTTCTCTAGAGCAGCACTCATCTTTTTCTAGGGAATCATGTTAAAATGACCACCTCTAGAAGGTTTTGTCTTCAGTTTTTGTCTTCACCTTTTTCTTCCAAGTAAAAAGGATTTATTTAGCAAATAGAGTCCTCTTTGGGGAGCGGGCACTGAGTAAACACATTCTGCTTATCATTTCTTTTCTGCAGCTGAGTGGCTGCTTGCACTGAGATGAGGTATCAGCAGGAGCTCAGTAATCATCTGCTCTGTTTAGCCAAACAGCACTGGCTTGAAGACAGCATACACTGTCTTCTCCTTGCCCAGTCTTTGGCAGGCTACTGGGGGCAAAGGGCATTAGGAGATATGGAGGGCACCTGGGGCTGTGGAGGAGGAGGGAGACAAGGATGAGATGAGGTGAGACAGGATTTCTGCACAAATCATGGGAAGCAGAGAGGGTTACTGCTGCTGTCCATGGGGCAAATTGTCTCCTCCTACGACACCTTAGATGAGTTTCTATGGGACAACGACACCACAAAGCCATGAAGTTCATGTACCAGTACCATGCACCAGAGCCCCATAGGGGAGATATAAATCATGTGTTCGCATGGCATGCTTAATGACCCCATGAGTGAAGTATAAAATAAAGGTAATAATAAAGAGCTGCAGTGAAATCCCTCAGGATGCTGATGAGAAAGCAGGCAGCTCTGCTTCCTGCAAGACAGGCGCTGATTTCCTCTGATGGCAGACCAAGCTGTCACTGCGGCTGCTTGCTTTAGCACAGGATGCCAGCTGCATGATACCATTAGCATTCCTCATCAGCCACGGCTTATGTCTCTCTGTGCACAGTGTTGGAAAACCAGGTCATTCTCTTGGCTCATCCTCCTCTGATAACTCCTCTTTTCTTTCACTGCTGGGAAGCGGAGGATGGTGTAATTAGTTTTCACTAATGTTCAGCTCTACGTGGAACGGCTTTTGTGCCAAGCCAGAATGAAGTTTTCACATAGTTTGCATGCCCTAAGAGGAGGAAAACTGGAGACAAATTTGGGAGGCACCTATTTTCCTTGTATCATAACGATTAAGCTGATATTTTTCAAAATACCACAGGGAATACAAATGACATGTTAAACTTCCAGTACTCATGAACAAAGTGTGATTCCAATGAAAACACAAAGTTAAATACTTACCCATGCCAGATAACAACTGGTACTGCATGGCTATCATAGCAAGCAATCTGAAATCATGCCCTTAAGTAGAAAACTGCCCAAAGTACTATTTAACTGCTTGGGGTTTGCAGGCAGATCAGAGACCTGATATTCCAAAGACCCTGCAGGGGAAGATAAAAATGAAAAATTCAATCCAAACCTCAGATAAGAAGTTCAGGTTTTCTTAATAATATAGTGGAAGTGATGACTTCTAAACCTATGAGGAATAAATTTTGAAAGGCTTGTATAGGGCACGATACAGACAGATAAAACAACAAACTTTATTAAAGGGTAAGTGATTTTGGGCTGTGGGTTAATTCATAACCATAAATTCCCACAAAGAATTAACTGGCTGGTACAGTGAGGGTTATATACTGGTAGAGTAACTGTATCAGTAATTAAAGCTGCATTAATGTGCTTGACTGATGCTCTGAAAGTGTCACTGTAATGGCAGTCACAGCACCAACTGAAGCAACTAAGCTGTGAGATGAGAAGCTGCTAGTTACAGAGGCTCCTTTTCAGGAATATGCTTGAAGGTTGATATGTTGGTACACTATAAGAAATAACATTATTTAAATAGTAATACATCCCCATCTCCCAGTGTTTAGTATCCACTGCAGTAATTGCAAAATCAGCCAATTTATATACAGTATTTTAGGGGATAAAATATGAAGCAGAAAATGCCTTAGCATTTATTTTATTTTATTTATTTTAGCATTCCTATCCTCTCATCACCAGGGGGACTCTTTGGAAAGAAGTACACCAAGTTTCAATCCAATACATTGTATTTTGGGAGTCTGGGAAAGAACAAAGTCAACCTGAAATTACAGTTGGATGTGATGACACTAGAAACATTTAAATTTCTCTTTTTCAATGATTTAAGTTAAGAAGTCCTCAACATGGGATATAAGCTGTCCAGACCTCTGAAAACACAGATCTGTCCCTTCAGCTAGGTGAGAATTACAGCTCACTGGGAGAAAAATATCAGCCAGGAAAGTTTACAAATACACTTAGTGGGAATACCTCTGCTCCTAAAGTAAAAGAAACATTAAAAAAAAAAAATCATACTCAAGAATAGGTGATCCTAGTTGCCCAAATTCAGCAGAGTAATTTTACAGAAGCTTCAGATAGGATAAAATAGGATTTGGTCCAGAAGGCCACACATCCCTTAAACTTGGCATAAAAACTCCAAATATAATAGAAGCTCAACGTCAAGCTGTGCTTCAGATATGTGGTCTTAGTTACAGATACATTTGTCTTATTTTTCAGCTTCATGTCTTGCAAGCCATCAGGTTTCAAATTAATCCTAAAGAAATAACTCATTTTGGTAAGTTCCGTGATCTATTACCTGTTTCCTGAAATTATTTGTTTAATAAAAGCTGCGTCATTGTTACCCATAATCAGTACCAGTGTGATAATCAATATAATCTCAATCCTCTATGTTGTGTGAAAACAGTACTTTGGTTCACGATAGGGTAATCACAACTTCATACATATACAAGACCAATACTAAGGACTTAATGGCTACAATGATGCACAAAGAATTAACTCAAAGAACCCCTGGACAAGAATCCTTCCTTGAATTTTTTTCCAGGTTTGAGCCTAGAATGCCAATTGTGCTTAAAATGTAATTTGCAGCAATGAGCATTTTACCGTGACTGGGCTTTTCTTATGCATTGCAAAAAGTGAGATAAAGGCGCTTCTCTGACACTGTTAGGTCCAGATTCATGTAGTCTACATGCTTTGGTGATGTTTAGACTATGGAAATAGATGGACAGCATAAGTGATAGTCTTTTGTAATGCAGCTACTGAAATGTTAGGAAGAAACCTAAACCTTGCAGTTGCTTTCTTCCATGCATCAAACAGTACCTCTTTCATTACTAGAGGTGCAGAGTTCTGTACCCTCTAGTTAGACCTTGCAGTAAAAATAATCACTCTGCTTTAGAAATTAACTCTGCAAATCAAAAAGTACAAGCAGACAATTTTTTTTTTTTAATATTTTAATACATATCTTCAGGGAGTGGGAGGAGAGAAAAAGAGATTTCCAAGTTCACAATATATTAGAATAAATGCCCTTCTAAAAACATTCCATAAGATAGTGTAATAGCTCTGGTTTGATTCATTTATGACTAAGGATTTCCTTTACAGATGGAGGGACACCTCTTCCTGCTGCCAGCCCTTGGCCTGCTGCTGCTCCTGGCACATTGTGTTCATCCAGCAAATGGCAGCTCACATCCAGGCTGTAGCAGGCCATTGATCAGTTACTAACACTTTTAGCTCAGTAAGACTTATATGGCAGGATAA